ATATATCTGTTCTTTTGTAGATAAGACTGGGAATAAGTCAAGTCAAGGAGGCTTTATTGTCAATTTCTTCAAGTCCTCTTTAAAAACTCATTTATTTGACATGGCTTTTAACATTTTAACCTTAGGTTGAGGTAGAGCACCTTGTTACCTCTTTATTTTACATTAAAATCACATATATGTATGTAAATTATGTTAGCTCTTTATGTTTATTTTTACCTGTACAGCACTTGTGTGAACTTATAAATTTGAAAAATACTTGTTATGTGAAAACCTTGGATATAGGCAGGCCATCTGTAACCTTAGAACAAACAAGACTAGAATCCCTAAAGTCACTGGTCAGTATAAAGGTTTAGAGAGAAAGTTAAGATTATGTCAACTGTGTTGGAGATGAGTATCATGTTCTGTTTGAGTGTAAAAATGTAGAAATATGCCATTAGAGAGAGAAGTATTTTCCGCAGTATTATGTGAAGAGCCCATCAGTGTTTAAAATGGTTTAAAATGGTTTCATTATCTCAGTCCAGAAAAAAGAAAATAATTTGTAGGTTGGGTGCCTTTTTGAAATGGGTCCTCCCATCATATCGATGATGTCATAGTTTTAATGTATATGCGTTACTTTGTTCTGTTATATTTATTGTTTGTGCTCCAAACCATGTATATGCTCATGGGCAATTACAATTTTTTATTTATTTAATTGAATCGGAAATGGAGCTGCAGCTTTACTTCCCGGTTAAATCTGTGAGGCTGGAGGGACAAAGAAAAAAGTCAAAGGAGACACGGAGACTGAGCTTCTGCTGGTTACCATGGCGATGTAGACGTTGGCGAGGGTGAAGTGGTTCACTACGAAGTGCGGGGCGATCTCCACGGCCATGCGGGCCACCGTCAGCGCGTCCTCCCACAGACGCGCGTTCTGGAAGATGTTGGCCAGGCTGATGAGGGGCACGTCCTGTTCCACCAGGAAAACAAAGGGAGAAAAACACTAAGTTAGGGCACTAAAAGGTTCAACTCCATACCGATACTCAGGAAAATACTCGATACCATTCTCAATACCACAAGGATAAACCCAAAGACCCCAAAATTTAACTGAATTTCAACAGTCTTTTAGGGTTGTCAAAGGTATCGATACTAAACCGTTGTATCCAGATACGATTCTCATTTTAAAAAGTAAAAATTCAGTTAAATTTTGGTGTCTTTGTTTTTATCCTTGTGGTATCAAGTATCAAATATGGTATCAGTATCGCGTTGGAAATGTATCGTGACAACCTTAGTGTCTTTCATTTCAAACTGACCTATTACTGTCTTATTAGTGTCTTAGATTACTGATGTTATGGTGGCCGCTTTAATGTTATTATTAGCCGTTAGCCGCAGCTAGCAATTCAAAGCTAACATCACGTTAATGATCATAAACAACGTAAATAAACAAATAAATCAGAGAGAAGGGGGGTATCGATACTTTGGAAAATGAGTATCGTATCCCGATACAACGGTTTAGTATCGATACCTTTTTGAGTATCGATACTTTTGACCACCCTAAAAGACCCTAACCTGTAGAAATTCTGTTAAATTTTGGGGTCTTTGTTTTTAACCTGTACTTGTTGTAGGGTTGTCAAAAGTATTGATACTCAAAAAAGCATCGATACTAAAACGTTGTATCCGGATACAATACTCATTTTCAATAGTATCGATAACCCCCCTTTTCTCTCTGATTCATTTATTTATTTATTTATTTATTTATGTTGTTTATGAGCATTCACGTGATGTTAGCATTGAGTTGCTAGCTGTGGCTAACGGCTAATAATAACATTAAAGCGGCCACCATAACATCAATAATCTAAGACAGTAATAAGACAGAAATAGGTCAGTTTAAAACAAAAGACACTAGGGTCCTCACGGTACTAAAACGGTCAACTCCATACCGATACTCAGGAAAATACTCAATACCACAAGGACAAAAACAAAAACCCCAAAATTTAACTGAATTTCAACAGCCTTTTAGGGTTTTCAAAGTTATCAATACTAAACCGTTGAACCGGATAAGATGCTCATTTTAAAAAGTAAAATTACTGTTAAATTTTGGGGTCTTTGTTTTTATCCTTGTGGTATCGAATATTC